AGAGATATTCTGTGCCGATGGCTCTAGATCTCCAGGTGTCTAGTGTTTATGGCAGATAGATGTTCTCTGCCGATGGCTCTAGATCTCTAGGTGTCTAATGTTAATGGCAGATAGATGTTCTTGCCGATGGCTCTAGAGAAGGTAAGTGCCCTCAGATGTAGACAATGTTATTTGAACCAGGGTCTCTCCATGAACATGGAAGCCACTTCCGGCCTTTTGGAAAAACAAAACAAAATAAAACAAACAACAAAGGCTAGTAGTTAGCAAGCACCAGTGATTCTCCGGTCTTTGTTCCCAACAGTTGTAGAATTTCAGGTGAATATGAGCCCGTACCCAGCTGTTTTGCCGGGTGTTTGGGTCCACACTCTGGTCCTCATGGTTGTGCACCAACTCATCTCTTTTAGCCGTGGAGCCTTCTCTTCATTCCCACAAATTTTTTAGTTAGTTATCCAGGTAATTTTTACCTACACATACCTATTCTTCATTATTAATAATATTTTTGCTAGCTTTTAAACACTTTTGCTTTATTTTTACTTTTTCTCTCTCCCTCTCTTCTTGCTTTGCTCTTGGAAAGTGTGTGTCACTCTGTGGCCTAGGCTGGTATAAGGTCGTTCTCTATGCAGGTGGACCCAGCCTTTACATGCTGGGCTGTCTCATGTCCTGCACACCTGGTGGAGGGCCAGTCTGAGGCGGCTCTCTCACTTGGGGGCAGCCGTTCCTAGAGGGCACTGTAGTGACTTTGGTGACCTCTCAGAAGTGTTTACCTGATGTAGGCCAACTGTGGTTACAGGGTGGGGAGAGCCACACATGGAATGCAGAACAGGCTTCTGGGGCCACAGGGAGCCATTGTGGAGCAGGACGGCTACAATCCCGGGAAATCTACAAACAAAAGAGCCCTCATGAGACTAAAATTAACTCTTAGTTATGTGACCATTAATGTAATTACTTTAGCTTTTGGCAATGAAAGTAAAACAGGCAACTTAGAGTGTAATAAATTCAAGTGGTGTTAAAGATAATCTTTTTAAATGGTCTCATATAGCCCAGGCTGGCCTTCGGTTCTTGTAACTGAGGATGGTTTTGAACTCTTGACCACTCTGTCTATCTCTGAAATGTGTAATTCACAGCCTGTGACATTATGCCAGCACTCTACCAATTGAGCTATGCTTTTGGCCCCCAGATTGAGATGTTCTCTGAAGAAAAGTAATGAATAATTGCTTTGTGACTTTGTAGAAATGCATTTTGTTCAGTTAGAGGAAATGGTTGGTGTTTGTCCCACATGACAGTAAAGATGGAAGTCCTGCTTGAGCATTGTAGTTAGGGGGGAGCCGTGCCAGGCTTCTTCAGAAGGGAGCCTGCACCCTTCCACCCACCTACCCTGCTCCACACTCCAGTGTTACTTATCAAATACACTGAAAACTTCAGAAGACCCTTCACTGGTTGGTTGGTTTGTTTCCATTGATGTGCAGTGAGGAAGCCGAGGCCCTGGCCAAAAGGTTGAAGCTGAGATTCTACAGGACTTCTGTGAAGGAAGACCTCAATGTGAACGAAGGTAAAGTGCGTCCTTAACAGTATCAAGAAATTTGTGGGGTTTTTAAATGCTGTTTCTGTCATGCTTAGAGATTGGATTTCAAAGCAATTGAAGAAGAAAATTTTCTTCTTGTCGCATTGTTAATTTTGAAGGTATTCTGTTCCAGGGGTCTGTGATTATTCCCTAATATTCGTGATTACTTGTTACTTACCCTTCTAGAAATGCCTGAGGTTTTTAGTAGGCTACTTCTTGTCTGTTTTTGTTTGTTTGTTTGTTTGTTTTTCTCTTAAAATCTATGCCATCGGGCCAGCAAGATGCCCAGCAGATGAAGGTGCTCACTGCCAGCTCTAGGAGTGTGTTCACCCCTGGAACCACAGAGGGTGGAGAGGGAGAACCAACTCCCACAAGTTGTCTTCCAGCCTCACACGCTGTGCCACGCACATAGAGTAAATAACTGACAGAAACATTCTAAAGAAGAGCTAGGTAGAAGTGTGAACACATACATTTATGTAGTTCTCCTGCATATCTCTTAGAAGTTACTGAATTGTTCTATTATTCCACCATAGTAGAGACTCCCATCAGAAAGCAAAATTTCTTCAGTATTTTCTAGTTTAATAAAATAAGGTCAGCTGGGCACTGGTGGTACACACCTTTAATCTCAGGAGACACAGAAGCAGGCAGATCTCTGAGTTCAAGGCCAGCTTGGTCTACAAAGTGAGTTCTAGGACAGCCAAGCATACAGAGAAATCCTTTCTCATAAAACCAAACAAAAAAAAGTAAGCTTAAAGAAAATTTTGAGATTTTTCTCCTTCTGGATTTTTCATTTTTAGATTGCAACTGGGTTGTTGTTTGTGTCTTTATTCTGTATAGTTTTCATCAGCCAAAGAAAGTGGATATTTCTTTAAGGACTGAACTCATTTAAGCGGGGCATGGTGGGAGCCTGTTGTCCTAGCACTGAGAAAGTCAAAGCAGGAATTCCAGGCCAGCCTGACCTTGTCTCAAAACAAAAGCAGAAAGGAATGAGTCCAGTTATTGGTTGTGCCATTCACCATGATCCAAGGTTTTCAAATGGCAGAGCCAGTGTGTATGCTTGTACACGCTTGTCCACGCTTGTACGCGCTTCCAGCTCTTCACTGGACACATTTTACATTTACTGGTATTATCACTATACTTTTCAGATATTGCTCAAATAATTTTTAAAAGTTGAATTTTGAACTAAATTGTATGCTTCTAATATAATTTTAAATTTATATAGTAAGCATAAATATTGCAATATTGAGATTGATTTACTTGCATAGTCATACTGTATATCTGTGTTTATTCTAGTTTTTAAATATTTAGCTGAGAAACATCTACAAAAACTCAAACAACAAATAACTGAAGAGCCAGAGCAGACACATTCAAGTAGTAACAAAATCGGTAAGTGCTCGGGAATTTCAGCACTTACTCCGTTTGTTGTGTCGTGCTTTCCTTTTCTGTGTGTAATGTGAAACTGCTCAGTGAGTATTCACTGCCTTGTTAAAAGAGCTTTGCCACTGCTGAGTTTCACACAGCAGACAGCAGGCACGTGAGAACTTCCGAGAAGACCGTGCTTACACGGACAGGCTCCACAGCACCTCTTCTGAGTCCGTCGCGCTCTCCTGCCTCCCCTCCCCCCTCCCTGCTGCTTGTTCCTGATCTTTTCTGTTGGATGTTAGACACTAGCAAAAGCTTAGCCATTCCTGAAGACTGCTGTTCACGTCTTTTCACAGTAACTGGCCTTGGATCTCGGCTTGCACAGAGATGAGAGCCGTGCTTGGTACTCCAGGCTTCTGTGTCCTTTGTTGAGCACCTTGTGTCCTCTTGTATCCTCCCTCCTTCCATGCACATCAGTCCTCATGGAGACCTTTCCTGGCTTCTGGCTATTTTTCTCTTACTTAGAATTGGTTCTTCCTGTGTTTGTGTTGGGAGGTGGGGCTTGTTCTCTTGCCCCACTGTTCTGTAAGCATCCAATTTCTTGACTCCCAAAGAGTTCTTTCCCGAGCATGCCCAGTGCTCTCTTTTGTCTTTTCCTATTCTATGGGAAATGATCCCTCCCATCTAATGTCAGGACACATTCATTCTTCAGGGACTATGTAGGAAGCTCTCACTGACCCAGGCCTTTCCTCCCGCAGAACGAAATCTAAGGCCAGACTTACAGGCTTGCCCAACCCTTTGACATTGGTACTCAGCATCCACAAATCCATGCTTGAGAACCGTGCAGCTGACGTACAGAAATCATTCCAGTATCTTAAATAAGTTTAAGGATAAGCCAAAGCTTTGTGTTGGGCTATATGCACTGCTGTCGTAGCCTCAGTGGCTTGCTGAACACACTTTCACCTTTTTACACGGTTCTTCTTCCTGTCTTAGGAAGTGGTGCAGTTGGCTCCTCCTTTGAACCACGCATGGGTCTGTGTGGACTCGCTGGTGCTGAACAGTTTGTCTTGCTTGGGCCTGGTGAAAGGAGGACCAGCCTAAGCTATATAAAGGGTCCTCGTCTCCAGAAACAAAACGAAAACGATATGTTGTCATGTAGTTTTACTGTGTGTTGTGTGTCGCCTATTAGACTGCAACTTCTCGTGGGCAGGAACTACCTGGTCTTGGGTTCTGTCTCCTTGGTGGTGTCCATGCACAGAGTTTCATGTGAATTGATCCTCAGCAGTTCATAAGTTAGGGGTTCCCTTTGGTGCAGAGCACATTTCAAATCAGAAATATGACAGCTTTCTCTGTCATCCACTTGCCACTTTGCCTGTAGGCCAATTTGATTATGGTATTTTAGCCCCAGGATGCACAGGGAGTGGAGATGGGCCATGGCAGCGCAGCATAGACTTTAATAAGGCTGAGCTGCTGGCGTACAATGTTTCTGTTCTAGTGTAGTAAATGAAAACAACTGGAGGTACTTGATTATGTATCTGATTTTACTAATAAATAATATGTATATGACAGGTGACTTTGAGGTGTATCAGTCATTCTGTTTCTCCCTAATTTATACAGGTGTCTTCAATACATCCGTTGGAAGTCACTTGGGTCAGAATTCAAGTACCCTTAACGGTGGAGACGTCATCAATCTTAGACCTAACAAACAAAGGACCAAGAAAACCAGAAATCCTTTTAGCAGCTGTAGTATACCCTAAATTGCTTCAGGGAGAAGAGCAGAATTGCATTTGCAGTTCACTGAGGAACGCACCAGTGGCGTCACGACATGTTAGAGTCTTAGCGGACGGACCTTGCACCTCGCTCTGAAAGCTGACATTGTAATGTTGCCCTGCAGCGCTTCTCAGAACGTAGATGGAGACCTCTGCTGGAAAGTTACCGCCTTGTGGACTCATTCTAGTTTTTGACTTTAGACGAAGCTTCTCCTGTTTTTGAAGAGACACATAGGACATGTCAAAACGGGTTTTGCTGAATTTTAAAATGCTGAAAACAGTTGCAAACGACTAAGTCTGTTGGTACCAGTCTCCCTCCTGCCCAAGGCAAGGCAGCAAGCATTGCTTTCCTGGAACTCCTCGTCTAGCTTTCTGAACTGTTCATTCCGAATGCGTACAGAAAGTACTGAAGGGAAAACTCAGACGTCTGTCAGCCTGCACTCGTGTGTTGTCAGTGGTACTCGTGGAATACCTGTTACGGGTTGTGGGAGTGTGCATGCAGACACCTGGCTCCAGCAGACGAAGGTCTGTGCCCTGGGAAGGCTGTAGATCCTAAGTAGTTTGTGCACACAACCGATCATACATTGTGTATCTTTCTGGTCTCACAAGAACTTCAAGACATATTTTACAAAACACACTTGGACTTAAATGTGCCGTGTGCCAAAACAGCCCCCTAATTTTTACAGTGCTTTATAGAATTTGTATTTGTGGCATCTTTTAAAGGCGGTGAAGGGAATGTAAACATCTGAATGCCAGGGCCTCTCCCGAGTGAGAGTTCCGCAGATCCCTCTCTGTGGCCACTGTAAGATGGTGAGTTCGCGCTGTGACAGGGTCAGCCACGTCCCCAGGCCCACAGCAGCCGGCAGCCACCAGAAGATCCTGGGAAGTGGGCACATTAGCTTTTTGGCTGCTGACTGAGACTCCCCAACTCTGAACTTTGAAGATGAAGGGAACCATTTTTTCAGAATGTACAAAGGTAGTCTTTGGTCCTGAGCCAGGTTATGAATTTTTTTGAAGCCTTGCAACTCTAAAGCATCCTTCTGTTTACAAACCTTGTATAGCATTTTAAGATGTGGCCTTTGGTTTCCATGGCACCTTAGTGAGAGATGTTGGCACAGGAGTGTCTGCAAAGAAACGACCCAGTGTGTAGATGATGGCTGTAGACTTGGGAGTTGGGACACGCCTGCCAAAGAGATAATTTTATGAGTTCTTTTAAAAACTGATTATTTTTTATCAGTGGTTTTGTTTATAAAGCATCAGTAGCTCCTTTCCACACCCTGGTTCTCACAGGACTTAAAGTATATAAAAGCGTTTTTTCTTGAAAAATGTGCTATGATGTCATTTTCTATTATTTTTACAAAAATATGTCCAGAATATATAAATGTTTGATGCATTTCCCTTGTTTTTTTTCTCCCCCCCCTTTTTAAATTTACCGTCATTATACCACCCTCCTCCCGCCTGGATTCATGTTGAGAGCATAGTAGAGTGTCCTTGTTGTGTAGCCAGGACTGAAAGCCTGCCTTTCACATTGAACCCATCTGGCGTCATCCATCCGCGAGTAGTAAAGATGTTTATTTTGTGTTTCAGTTGTTAGCGCTCCCGTTGCTGGCGGTGGGAGAAGAATGATGGGAGCCTGGTTCCTAACCAGGGTACCTAGGTCCCCGCTGTGAGTCATGGTTTTTCTCTCTTCAAATACAGTCTTCAGTTTTTGCACAAAATGTATTTGGTGGCAAATAACCTTGTTATTTTTAATTGGCAGGCAGGGTTGAGTTGGGAGAATTCATGAGAGAGCACCGTAAGCTCTACTCCTGGTAGAACGTGTGGTGAAAGGTGTGTGGGGCTTGTCTGTGGCGTCACCCAGACTGATGGTGGCTGCTGTTCCTCAGACGTGTAACAGATTTTGTGTGCTTTATCTTTTTTTAATGGAAGTCTTTGTAACACTTTTGAATTTTTACTTTGCGTTGCTGTATTTTTATAGACGGTCTAAAATCAGCCACAAGTAATATTAATTTATCCATGTATTTAATTCTGAAGCCTTCAGAGGTCACTTTGTCCCCTCCTATGACTGTAATTTCTAAGAATTTTATATGAAATTCTGGTGAAGCCCTTTGGTGACAAGAGAAAGAACCCTGTCCATTTGTGCCCCCGTTTACTTTTTTGCATCGTCACCAGTGTTTGGTGTCACTGTGGAATATGTAGCTGTGGAATAATTGCCATATCTATGAGTCCCTCAGGTTCTTTCTTCCAGTCTCTGCCTATGAATTAAATAGTACACAAAGCAGCCCGTACACGGCAGTACAAAAAACACAGGTTGAACTGTTCCTTTTTATCCACTCAAAGTGGCAGCATGTTTTCAAATGCAAGCTAACACTACCAGAGAGAGAAAGTGTGGCCCTTCCCTGCAGAGTGAAGTTAGGTGGTCGCTGATAACTCAGGAGTGTGGACCCCCACTGTACCTGCCACGGGGACTGGGGTCTTGTCAGAAGATTTAGGATGAGGGGCTGGCCTTAGAACCTGATGTCTTAGACCCTGAACCTTTGGAGTGAGGCTGGGAACACCTCAGTAGAGCATCTCATCGAGTGGCTGCAGGAGCCCACAGGGTGAGCGCTCCCTCTGCCGCAGCCATGCTTTGTTCACCTTAACAACAGTTACATGAACATCTTGTTACTCTTAAGGGTTTCACATATGAAACTTAAGAAAGCTATCATACAAATGGAGTTATCTGCATACAGGTAAATAAACCATGGTGGGGTCTGAACTACCCAGGCACCAGGCTCCAGACGACAGAACGGTCTGGCCACAAGACTCTGCCACTGCTCCTTTCCTGTTGTCTCTTGAAATACTATAGTAGGAGGTTCATAAGTGGTATTTTCAAATTAAGTCTTTGGATCAAAGGAAAAACTTAACCCCTTCTATATTTTTGTTACTAATAAATAATGCTTTTGTAAAATTGACCGGGAAAACTACTTGTATGCATTCATATTGAGTGGTACTTATGCCTTTGGGATTAATTTTAAAATGTACTACTTGATTACAGTTTCAACAAAGATGAATTCCGATAACCAAAACAATAAAACATTTTGAAGCTAGAATTTGTTGTGGTATTGTGATGTGGACCACCAGTGTGGGGTGGATCACAAAGGACCTGGGTGCGGTGGCAGTGCAAGGCCACCCTTGGCCACACCGGTGAGTTCACCCCAGCATGAGTTTTATGACACCATTCATAAGAAATAAATGACGGAGTAAATAGGCAGGTGTGACTTTTTTAAATAGCAAAATAACTTACACGTATTTCACACTTAGCTACTTAGTGCACTAATACGCTCATCGTCAGGAAGTTCTGGGATTGAGGACAAGCACACTTCCTTCAGGCTACTACCAGTCTTTTAAAGGTATTTCATGTTTTGAGGCATTTGGCCCCTAACACCTTTACCCCATCTTCAGATGTAAAATAACTATGACGTTTAATTCGCTGTGTCAGACAACCCACTCAGGTACACAGGATCATCAATGCTGCCGCCACCCCGCCGCGCCCCCTGCTGGTGAAGACGTGGAGTGGGCTGTTCACCATTCTCTGCAGGACCACCCTGTTCTGTCCACTTCACCTCGTTTCCTTGTATGAACGAGTGAGCATACGCAAGCAGAGGACGGCTAAGTTTAAGCTCATCCGTGTCCCTGTTGCTGCTGCCTCCAAATTTGCAGCTCTTTTGACCTTATTTTGTGTCTTTAATACTTGTGCTGCCCAGCTTTCCAAATAGCATCATCATATGATGGCCTTCAGATTTATATAGTAGCATTTCTCAGGATCGGTCACTTGAAAAAGGTAAATATTTGGTATTCAAATTTTTCTGTGCTTTAGTTCAGAAACTCGGTTGCTTCCAGAGACTGGTAAATTCTTATTTTCCGATTTTAGATGGGAATCAGGCTAGAGAGATGGTTCATTGGTCAAGCACACTGGTTGCTCTCGGAGGATCCAGGTTTGATAGCAGCCCACAGGCGCCTGTATAGACAGTTCTAGGGGATCCAGTGCGCTCCAGAGACACAGGCCTACGTTCAGGCAAAACCCCCAGACACATAAAATAATGATGATAATTTTTATAAAGGTAAAATCAGCTCTACAAGGGTGGGATCACTTTGGTCTCTGCTAAAGACAGGACTCATTATGTAGCCTCAGCTGGCCTGGAACTCCCTGTGCAGACCAGGATGACCTTGAATTAGAAGAGGTCTGCCTGTCTCTGCCTCCCAAGGGCTGAGATGAGAGGCTTGTGCCACCACATCCAGGAGCTGATCCCTTTTTAGGGTGAAGTCCAAGCATTCTGGTGAGGAACTGAACTGAACTCCATCCTATACTTTGTGTCACTGCGCATAGTACTCACTCTGGCTGTGGAGGATGTTTGTAGTTTATGAGCTACTCTAGTGTGGACCCCAGAGCTGCCTCATCCTCTCCCCTCCACCTACGATGGGATAGGCCCCTGCCTCTGCTGTCTGAGCCTGCTGAACTGCTGCTGCAGCTAAGAAAGGCTTTCCCTCTGCCGCTCACGGTCCTGAAGCTGGGGTTCGTAGCACTTCCTTTCCGCTGGTACAGTCTAGCCTTTTCTCCCTCTGTGGCCTCAGCCTCCCCCAGGTCCGGTTTGACAAGCATGGGCCACAGAAGCTGAAAGACCGCATTGGACCCACCCAGCAAGGCCAGTTCCCTCTTCGCGATACCATCTGTTAGCTGGGCCTCAGGCTTCAGCCTTCCTGACAAGGGTTTGCTCACGTCGCTTCCACAGCTGGAGATGTTTCTCCACTTCCCACAGCAGCTTCTTTCGGATCAGCTCTGCTGTGACAGAGGTGAAAGCCTCCTGGGGGTGGGTCGCTGGGTTTCAGGCACTGGAAGGCACCCAAGCGCCCCAGGGCCGCACTTCTATTGGCAGCCATTTAAGGCACCACAGCCTCTCCTCAAGATTAGCCACTCCCTATGAAGAACCCAGATCCTCCGACCCAAACCCTCTCATTTAACATCTTTGAAAACTAGTGTCCCCTGGAGGGTGCAGCAGGGAAGCCGGGCTGCGCATTCATTAGCTGAAGTATCGACTCTTTGAACTCTCAAAGCTTCAGGACCACCTTTCAAGGAAGGGTTCATAAACCACTCAAATGTCAGCGTTGTACTTCTTCATTTTTAACTGTGAAAGTTAAGAGTAAAAACTCTGCCCTCAGTTGGTGAACGGAAGTAGATGCCTGAGGGCCCTGCTAACTGCCACGCCACAGAGTTCATCTTTAAAGGGAAAAGCAGAAAACAGCTTAGCGGGCTGGTGTGAAGATGAGTCCTGGGGAGCAGAACAAACAGGCAGAGGGGCTGTCCTAAGATGTCACGTTCAGTTGAGACAGAGTAAAGACTGTAGTTAGAAGGCTCACACCTGGAGGGTCAGAGGACTGAAGACAATTGTACGGTGCAGCCAGGGTGATGGCAGTGGCAGAGCAGTCAAGTCTGTGAGAAGCAATCAGGGACCATACAAAAAATTCCATTATGAAAAAGAACGAGAGCAAAAGAGATGGCTCAGGGGTTAAGAGCACTGGCGACTCTTGGAGAAGACCAGAGTTCAAATCTCCCAAGTCATTTTCAGGCCACTCAGCTTCCTGGAACTCCAGCTCCAGGGCAAGTGTCTCACTTCCCTCCTCTGTCTGGTGAGGTCACTGAGGTCACGCACAGACACACACAAATAAAATCTATAAAGAATGAGAAGGAAATAACGCAAAGAATACAAAGGTCAAGGAGATAGCCAGCATTCCCGACAGACGTGCTGGGTGGATGGAGAACGAGTGGACTGAGGAGGCAGGCTTATCTTCCCAGGGTAGGAAGGAATCAGAGAGGCTGGCATCCGAGAGCCTAAGGAAAATTTGTGTACTTAAGAAGCTGGAAAAATCTACATAGGGAGTAGAAAAGGACAAGTTCTTCTGAGTAAATTGGGAGCGTTGGGACCATGGGAGAGGGTAGGAGGGAAGGGGAGAGGAAGGGAGGGGAACGGAGAAAAATATATAGCTCAATAAAAGCAACTGAAAAGAAGTTGGCAAAGACCAGGCAGTGGTGGCGCACGCCTTTTATCCTAGAACTTTGGAGGCAGAGGCAGGTGGATCTCTGAGTTTGAGGCCAGCCTGGTCTGCAGAGTGAGGCCCAGGACAGCTGGGGCTACACAGAGAATCCTGTCTCCAACAAACAAGCAGAAAAAAGAAGTTGGTAAAGAACCAGGTGACAGAAAACATGGTGGCAGCGAGCTTGGTGGCAGGCATCCAGTCTGCAGGCAGATGCTTTACCTCAGCTGGGGACTCTGGAAAGGGCTTAGCGCTATCATCTCAGAAAGTTCAGCTCAGCAATGGCTGTGCTGGATGGTAACAGTCCATGTCGTCCATCTTTGTCTTTTGGTAGGAAAATCTCTACGACCTAATAAAGCTTGTGTTGGAGGCGACGTACTTCAGAGCTGTTGCTGAGGAGCTGGTGCAGCGCTGAAGTAGCCCGTGGCCAGTGCTGCTCTTCAGTCATAGAAAGGTGACCTGCTGGTCAGCAAACAAGGTGTGGTTAACAAGGGGCTTGGTGCCCGATGGGAGAAAAGCAATGCCCAGTGCTACAGACTTCCGTGACATGGATTCTTTTAATTACTGAAGGCAGTACAAACTGATAAGACTTATAAAAATTTAGAAATACGTTTTCAGGTCATGAAAATGTATCTATCTTTTGGCTCAATGGACCCATTAGTGGAATTTTATACAAAGAAGACCAAGAACAGAATAAAGCTCTAAGGACATAAATGTGCTGTTGTCATAGCAACAAGCAGAAGCCATCCACATGACCACAGAAAAGGGGCTGGGTCAGTAGCTCGCTCCCACTGCACACATGGTGACTTCAGGGCGGCCCATCCTCACCCACAGTGGAGACAGGCCACTGCCCGGTGGATATGGACCGAACCGTGGTAAAGTGGTTTCCTCACATTTTATGTCATGCCTCCACACACAGAAGATATGTGATGAAAGAAAGATATGTAGAAAACAGATGGCTCAAATATTGAGAACATGCGGGGTGAGGTTCTGGTGTGTTTCCTTTTATCCTTCTAGGCACACTGTGTGATGTGACCACACTGCTCCAGGGGCTGGGTTTTCGTTCACATTATGGTGTGTGTGCACTGCTCCAGGGGTTGGGTGCTCTGTTCACACTGGTGTGACCACACTGCTCCAGGGGTTGGGTGCTCTGTTCACGCTATGGTATGAGCACACCGCTCTAGGGTGCTCCGTTCACATTGTGGTGTGACTACACTGTTCTAGGGGGCTGGGTGCTCTGTTCACACTGTGGTGTGACTACACTGCTCCAGGGGCTGGGTGTTCTGTCCACACTGTGATGTGACTACACTGCTCCAGGGGCTGGGTGCATCTGTACTGAAGTCAAGGAAAGAGCACTGATGCGTTTCCCCTTTATTTATTTTCCCAGGTACTATGTGCGCATCTTCAGAAATAAAATATACAGCCCTAAAGTCCAGTTCAAGACAGGAATACTGTCCAAAACTTCTGAGTCAGCGACTGAAATACGTCTAGTTTGAAGGGTTATTTGTGTGTCTGTCGACACTGGGATACTCCCTCATCTGAAACAATCATCAGTATGAGGTATTAGTGGTTATGCCTAACGTAAAGAACTAGTTATTTAAAATAGTGGTTTTTTTTTCCTTTTTTTACAGCCTTGGTAAAGGGCCTGTGGGTTTGAAGACTAATTAACTTTGCCATCGGTGTTTTGCAGAGTTTTGGGACCGGCTCCTTTCGAGTGCTCCAACAGTTTAATGGCCTTGTCGGAGTTGTCAATGTTCCTCAGCAAAGTCTCCAGGCGCCGCTTAATTTTCTTCTGGTCTTCAAGGGCGCAACCGATTACAATCGATTGGAATTTTTGGTCAACCGGACCAGGCGGCACCTCAGATGAGCAGGCACTGTAGAGGGACATTAAGTGACTCTTGGCGTTTCCCAGGTCGTCCAGGAACTTATTGACCACCTCATCTATAATCTTTGTGGCGTGCTTCAAGGATTCCTCCTGCTGGGGGTTCCGAATTGTCTCCACTGAGACCTCGACAGTGAGGGTCCGACCCATCAGGCGGTTAGCAGTCAGGTTCAGCTCCTCTCTTTCTCCTAAACACGAAACATCAGTCAGTAGGAGACAGAAACTTCACTCATCAGCAAAGCCAAAGCAGGCACGTGTGGCTACCTTGGTTTTGTATTAGACATGTATCTGAAATGTTTAAAGCTTAAAAACCAAAAATACACCTGGCTGTGGTGGCAAGGCCTTTAATCCCAGCACTCGGGAGGCAGAAGCAGGTGGATCTCTGTGAGTTTGAGACCAACCAGGTCTATAGAGTAAGTTCCAGGACAGGCTCCAAAGCTACACAGAGAAACCCTGTCTTGAAAAACCATAAATAAATAAATGAATGAATAAAACAAAAAATAAAACAAAACCAAAAAAAGAAAAAAAGAAAGAAAAACCACCAACAAAATACTACAGCATGCAAGATTAACTGAGGAAGTGTCCGACGGCAGAGCTAGTCACAGAATGAAGTCTTTCCACAGTAGGGGCAGCTCTTATCCCAAGTCTGTCCACACATTTGGCAGAGGCAGTTATAGCTGGGATGGAAATCGAGTGAATTCAGAGCAAGCGGAGTTTAGCTGAAGGACAGCTAGGGCTCGAGATGATGAACACACATGCAGCTCACGCCTGTCGGAACACAGCACGCTATTGGCCAAGAAGGAGCGGTGATAACGGAGGCCCAGTGGGCTCCCAGGCAAGCCCTGCCCTTCTCCCTGCAGACAGACTCGAGCTGGCCCTGGGTGCCAGTCTTTGCCAGCAACAGAAAGCTGTGGTGACCATGGGCTCTGGTAACATCTCAAGATTTACACAAAACCGGCCACAACTCCTTTCCCAGGTCCAGAACTCTCTAAAGCATGGATCCTTCGCCATGATGGCGACGGACTAGGAAGGACCCACTGCGGACAGACAGCATTTTGGGTCTGAAGTTCAAAAGCTTACGTCCCCAGCTCTCTAGCCTACTGTACTCAGTGACCCACTCCTCCCGGGCTCCCATACCTGCTCAGAGGAACGCGGCAGGGCATTTTACTGTAATTCCTTTGCCCGGCAAACCTCAGACCAACTCACCAAGTCTCCACCTCCACCTCGCTCCTCCACGGTAACCGCCCCCGCAGTGGAAAGCACTGTGGTCCTGAAGGCTGCATGACTTGCCTGCTCTTCAGGAGCTGGCAAGCTGGGGGGGGGGGTGGGGAGCACACGGAGACAATGACCATGGCCAGCAGCCCGAGGGCTGCAGCTGCTCTCTAGCTGCAGTTAACACTGAACTGGGGAGCAGGCGCAGCCCAAGGCAGCAGAGCGCTGGCTCGGTTTATCAGACCCCCTAGAAGTAGGCGTGGCCCATTCGTGGAAACGGCTCTCACCGTCACTAATCTGCCTCATGTCCTGGCTGTTCTGGATGCTGTGGATCATCTCCAGGAGAATTTCTTTCTCTTGCTCAACAGCAGTAGCCGCGTCTCTCAAAGCTTCAACCCTGTGCGGATTGGCAAAGCAAAACAGGTGTTAGGGCGGCAGTGTCCTTCCTATCAATTTCCCTCAGCTGCCACCTAAATCAGCTCAAGTTTAAAGGACAGTAAGAAAGCTTTGCAAAAAGGCCTTACTGTGAAAATGCATGCTGGGCATGGTGGTGCACGCCTTTAATCCCAGCACTCAGGAGGCAGAAACAGGTGAATCGCATGAGTATGAGGCCAGCCTGGTCTATAAGAGCTAGTTCCAGGACAGCCAGGTTATGCAGAGAAACCGGGGGACGGGTGGGTGTAACATGAGGGCCAGCTTGTTGGGGTTTCTGTCCCGCCCAGTACCCCAACAAGCCAGCAAGTCCCAAGGAAAATCACACGGAGTCTACATCAGGTTATAAACTGACTGGCTCATTAGGTCAGGCTTCTTGTTAACTCTTATAACTTATATTAACCCATTATTCTCATCTATGTTAGCCTATTCTTATCTACTTAGCCATAATGGCTCGGTACCTTTTTCAGCTGGGTCAGTTACATGCTGCCTCTTCGGTGGTCTGCGCAGGAATGGCTAAGGGAGTTTCCTCCTCTCTAGCCTTATCCTATTCTCATTGCCCCGCCTCTACTTCCTGTCTGGTTGACCCACCTATACTTCCTGCCTGGCCAATCAGCGTTTTATTAAAATACATGATTGACAGAATACAGACAATTCTCCCGCACCAGGTGGGAGGGACAACGGGGGCGGGGGGTGTTGGTGGCGGCAGAGCATTACTTAAAAAAAAAAAAATAAGGTCTAACAGGAGTGTTTTGGTCTTCTTTTCTGAAACAGGGCTCCAAAGCTGGGCCGACAGCTTGCCGCAATACTCCTGACTCAGTAGTCGGGCAGCAAGCGCGAGTCACTCCCTCGGGCTCCTCTGCTGGCTGGGCTCCTATTTCCTTCCCCAGGGTGACCTTAGAGACCAAGGTCACTTATGTGGACTTGTTCTTTTAAAAGCTGTCTATTTGCATTTTAAATCTGTACCCGCTTCTTTTTTCACCTGACTCTTCAGAACCATCTGGCTCCTCGGTCTCGGGGCCGCACTCTGTGCCACGTGAGGATCTGCCTGGTTCTCTCCGCTCTGACTACTCAGAGATGGCCACTCATGTGGACATGGAGTCTGCATGCTCAAGACATGAACTCCTTATTGGCCACAGACATGGAAGTCGTTTGCCTTGTGAGCTTTGCTCAGAACGGCCCTCACTGAACCGATACTTCCTCCATCCCCTGAGATAAACTTCATTACCCAGGGTGCCCTGTGCTGTTTCAGCCTCAAGCACCTGGGATCGCTGCATGTTAGCTTACTAGTTAAGAATGCCTCTGTACTTCATTAAAGGTTTGTTGTCGGTCCGTGTGCCTGAGTGTCTTAGCTGCAGGCATGGAAGTGCACTGTGTATGTGCCCAGTGTCCGCAGAGGACAGGAGGGTTTCGAGTCCCCTGGAACTGGAGTTGTGGATGGTTAGGATGGGTGCTGGGAACCAACTCCGATCCTCTACCCTAGCATCCAGCCCTCTCTCCAGCCCCTCATTTTAGTCTTTTGAGACATAATTTCACTATGTAACTCAGACTGGCTTTCCTGTTTCTGACTCCTGAGTGCTAGGGGAGATCCTTTTGATGGGATGGACTCATCTCCTGTGGCTTTGCCTTGTGGCTTATCCCCTTCGAGTTCACATCCTGTTCATAAGATTTACCTCCCTGGTATTTATTTCTTTAGTCCACTAGAATACACTCGGGTCTTAGGCAATATCCAAACAGCCATTTTCCTTAGTTCTTTACTCCACATCCCGTGTGACCTATAGGAAATCCGCTGTCAATATGCTTGCTGCCCCGCCCACTGCTTTTTAGCATCCTGGGCTTTGTACGGTGCAGTAACTGGTAGAACGGCCTCCTTCCAAATCTTCTCTAAAGATGATGTCACTATTTAGATACCTTTACTCCTTCACATAAACTGTATGTTTGATTTCTTGAAAATATTCCTTTGACAGTGTAGTTTAGTTTGCATCCCTTTGTCTACTTCAGTTTTGTATGTGACTAGCTTTGAAATAGTCTTCTCAGCCAGCTTATAGATTCCGGAGTGTTCCAGAAACCTTGGGGACACTGCTGCAGATCGCTTTAATTATAGTTTTAGCCGATTACTACTGGCTTGAGACAGGCTGTTTTTACAGGCTCAGCTTACAACTGGCAACCTTGATAGTATTAAATTTTGATGGCTGATCTGTCACTTCTATCATTTCTTCTGAGTTAATGATCATACTGGGTGGGGAAAATAAAAGAATTTCTGTCTTCATCCAGTTGTTCTTTTCTTTAGACTACGGACTAACGTCTTTTGGTACTATAGTAGGCAGTGCAGTGATGAGATTTGTGCTTTTCCCCAAATTTAAGGGGAAAGCCTCTTTAAGATTTCACTGTAAAACTCTGATCATACAATCATACATATCACAGAACACTTCAACCGCTACCTCTGCCAGCTACACACACATACACACACACACACACACACACACACACACACACTTCACATACAGGTGAGCAAACCCCATGATTCAAAACGAGGGTGCTGACTCATGAAAAGCAGGAGAAAAACATCTCACACATTTAGGTTTTCCATTTCCAACTCACTATCTTACTACCATGACAACACTCCCAGCTTTTGTGGAGAAACAGTAATAGCTGACCCCAGAATGAGCGGCCATGGACCGGCGCTCCAGCCCAGATCACTCGTGGAAGCGGCCAACGAGGGAACAATGTCACCAGCCTTTTATTAGCACACATCAACCCATGACCTCCCATTCTCATCCCATCCACATGTCACCCACCTGTCAAACCCCAAAATAGCTCTACGAGGTGGTCCACGTCCAGCGTGTCTCTAAAGAGCCGGTCAAAGCGGGCAAGCATTGTATGGACAAGTCCAGCTGAAACCAAACAACGTAAGGCGCTGCTGGTAGGCAACAGGCTTCCTCCAGCACCACTGCATTACAGCATGTCCTCCGGCAGATAAATGAGAGCCTGGGAGGTACGAGAGAGGCCCAGCTGGCACAAATGTGAACTGTTTATAATTAGAAACTCTAATTATGACTCCAGCGTTTGGAGAAATGATGCAGACTCTGAAAGCCTGGATTCCATTTGCACACACTTGTGCCTGTGTTAAATGTGACCGAGGGACGAACGCTGTGCTAAAAGGGGGTTCGTTTACAGTAATCAGCACAGCCCTTAGCACGTGGAGATAATGAGACAGATTGAAAAGGAAACATCCTGGGGACACACCCTTCATCTGTGTATGAGAAGCTACTGCGAGCTAGGGATGTAGACCTGAGTCCAGAATGCGCTTAAGAGTTGTAAAACCTTGAGTTTACTCTCCAACAGAGAGAAAGAGACTGATTGATTGACAGTGATTAATGTGGGCTCCCCCCCCGAAAGTTCTTTATACATAGTAGAAACTGCCAGGGTGGCGAACATACCTACATATCCATTTATCATGGCCGTACTTCTGCCATGCCTCCTTCCTACGACATTCTTCCTGATACTCAGGATCTCTGAAAACATTCTGTCTCCCTTGTGCCGGAACTGTTCACGGCTTCCCCTGAAGGAAATCAACACTGACTTCCCTTGGTACCTGTCTTAGTAGGGGTTTCTACTGACGTGACAGGTCAGCATCAGCAAGAGCAACGTGGCAAGGAAAGGGTTTAGTCTGCTGACTCTTCTCTCATCACTGAAGGATGTCTGGGTCCTCAAACACGGCAGGATGCTGGAGGCAGGAGGTGATCAGAGCCCACAGAAAATGCTGTTTACTGGTTTGCTCCCTCAGGGATTTCTCAGTCTTTCTTATAAAACCCAGAACCCCCAGTCCAGGCGTGGGCACCACTCACAATAGGCTGGCTTCTTCTACGCCTATCACTAATTTAAAAAAAAAACAAAAAAACCCCACAGCAGTGGTTCTCAACGTGTGGGTGGCGACCCCTTTGTGTGGGGGAGGTCAAATGACCCTTTCTCAGGGGTTCCCTAAGACCAACAGAAGACACAGATATTTACAGTACTATTTATAACAGTAGCAAAGTTACAGTTACGAAGCAGCAACGAAAATAATTTTATGGTTTGGGGGGTCACCACAACACAAGGTTACATCATTAGTAAGTTGAGAATTGCTGCCCTGAAAGGCTTTGATCTTATGGAGGCATTTTCTCTACTGAGGGTCCCTCTTCCCAAACGACTCTAGCTTGTGTCAGTCAGCCAGGCCAGCACTGTCTGTCTGCCTCACCCTCAGCCTCTTCCTTTAGAGACAGGACCTCCTGTATCCCCAGCGGGCTTGGAACATACTTGAACTGCTTCTACATCGCGAGTGCCGGCATCACAGACACACGCTGATGCCTGGTTTATCGGTACTGGGGATGGAACCAGGGCCTTCGTGTGCACTAGGCCAGCAGTCCTCACTGCTCGGCTTGTTTAAATTAGGTTTGCATTGTTTATCAGCTATTGCTGTACTTCGACTCAACTCATAGAATTTTGTCTATGTAGCTTTTCCATTAGTCTGAGATTAGTGACTGAACCTTAAATATGCCTGCCTTCCTTTCGTGTCTTAAGTAGCTAAGATAGACAGAGATAAACATTCAATCTTAATAAATTCATGTGGGGATTCTCCTCCTGTCGGCAAGGGGCATTTCTGTGTGGATCCAGGGAGCAGCTACATGTCCAAATTGGGGAAGGAAGCAGCATCCCATCACAGCGGACTGGGCGGCAGCTCTGGCAAGCTGCACTCAGAGCAGGCTTCGGCAAAGACACCGTGGTAAGAATTTTCATGAACATAAAACTGGGGCATCCTCACCTGGTCCCCTGTCCCAGGCCTCTCATGAACCTGCAGTGGAGGTGTCAGCGTAAACTGGTGGAGGGCTGGTGCAGGCAGGCGTCACTGGCTCAGGAAACTGACCGCTGGGGGCTACCACCCAAGCTGTGTAAGGAACCGCTGCTGACTTGGCCGAAATTTCCTCACCCAGGGCACCAGTGATAAGGAGCCCTTGGGTGTGGCCAAATGAAGCAAAGCAGGGGCAGAGTTTGACGCGCCAATTGGCAGCACTGGCTGAAAACTGCAGCAGGAGCCAAATGCTGTGTATGACGTCAGCACACATGAGATTCACGGTGCCTATTCTAGACTTACTGTCACGGACACAAGCTCATTTGCTTAAAACGTGTGCTTCCATAAACAGGGAAACGGCAAGCATTCACATCCGTGGGTTTATGGGACTTTTTCCAAAACAAGTTCTTAAACTCCCAGACGAAGCTCCATGTGAGACCCTGGCTTCTGCTGTGATTCCTGATACTGCCAGTAAGGTTCTGTCACCAAAATGTCGCATTCCTTTCACCGGCAGCACCACTCACCAGTACGTTAGCCTTAAGGCAAGGCACCCAGTCCCTCAGTTTCTTATTCTTTTCATCCCACACAGGTTTCATGTATCCCAGGCTGGCCCAGAACTCACTATGTAGCCCTGGATGACCTTGAACTTCTGGTCCTCTTGTCTCTAGGATTGAGACTATAGGCATGCACTCTACCGTGCTGGCTTTCTGAAGCCAGGTATCAAATGCAGGGTTCTGAGCATGCTTGACAAGCATCCTACCAACTAAGCTCCCTCCCAGCCTGGTGTTCTCACAGCCGAAAGAGATAATAACCTCCTCCCCCTCCTCCTCCTCCTCGAGGGTTTTAGAAGTTTTAAATTACAAGGCATATGAAAAGTGTTCTTTTAAATTACAGACTATTGCTCCACATTAAATATGGTGTTGACTAGTTTTGTAAGTCCGGGAACACTGGGACAGCCTAACAGGAACCTTAAGCAGTAAGAACCAAAGCAAGGGAACGGCGCGCTTCCCTGACCCCTGAGGCAACCGTCATTTCCTGCCTGGGTGGCCTGGGAAGGAACTACTCACTATGGGATCGGTTTTGGGAAATGGATGAACAGCCAATCTCCCAGTCCTACCTCCCATCCATTCTCCCTCTGCCAATCTCCAAAACCCAGCCCTTGGACAACTTCTTTATCATCCACAGCTTCTAGAAGCTACTCAATATTCAGCATGTACTGGGTGTTCAATATTTACTGAATTGAACGCTCAACTGATTTTCTTCTCTTTAGTAAAAGCGCATTCTTATGCCTACTAGACAGTTTGAAAGACGATAGAGTCAACACTAGGGCACCTGGTGTCTGATCTGAGCACCCCATCTTCCCGTGTTCAAACGTGACGCCCACAGCTCTTGACAGCAACTCGGTGTTTGGATCTGAGCCTCAATTTCTCATCTGTAGAATACAGATAATGGTAACTCCTGCAGAGATGTGAGGCCAAGCAGGCAGATAGATGTATTGTTCATAAGCCAGGGTAAGCACTGAAAAGTACCTAGTAAGGTACTTAGCCATGACAAGTGCAGAATCCCATAGAGCTGGTCGCCAAGGTCAAGAAAGGGCAGGGCTACCTCTTCAGAGGGGCTGTAGTAGACAGATTTTTTACTGTCACAAAACGTAGTTAATATTATAAACCATAGATACAAATGGCAATCTGGTAACAGTCTGTAAAGCAGGGCTGAACATTTCAAAGCATTTCCAGCATCCCTGAGGTCAGTTCATCCTCCAGGACACAAAGCCTTTGGTGTGGTTTCGGTTCACGAGGGAAAAGTGCCTTTCACTGTGGACAGAGTCCACACAACGGAATGGAAAAGGCAAACGACGCTACAAGCAGTGTTGAACAGCACCACTGCCTTACTCACACACGGACTCTAAGGAAGCTAGCAGAAAGAAATCACATAAGCTTCACCTTTTCTCTGTCATCCACATTTAAAACTCTAATTTTTAATTGTGTAGTGCTCTGTGGACAGTCAAGGTGCCTTCTAAAAAGACCCTACCCCTTGAGCCATTAAACACACATGAATCCAACTCCCCGCTCAGCGCACCTGTTAAGTAACAGAACTAAATCACCTATGTGCAATACTCAGAATTCCTTTTACATTAATCAGATGCTACATTTGAACGCAACACCTCTCAAAACCAAGACTTCCAGGAGTCTCCCCCGCCACCAGCACTTGGGAGGCATTAATTCAGGTTTCAGGACAATGACTCAGCTTGAAGAAGAGCAACAAGTTCCAGAACCCTTTCAAGGAAGGAAAAAAAAAATCTGAGCAGCTGAGAATATACTGTCAAAGTTCAGCGCATACTTCTCTCTAGGAAGCATTCCCCTCTCTTCGGAAGAGAAGGGCTTTAACGCTGAGGCCCCTTTGCCT